AGTCCAAAGACATCTCACAAATGAGTGATGCTTTCCAAATGTGAATGCGTACTACTGATCAAGTTAAAACTCTGTGTATTACTAAGGGTGGCTTCAAAGGGAAGAAGGACAGGTACTTCCTCTTCAACGTTTTCGTTTCCCAAACACCTACTCTCCCTTCTCTTCCTTCTTCCCTTCCCCAGCACAGCATGGGGACTCACACAGCAACACCTCACTTAATAACCCCAGAAGAGCAACTGGTATGCAAATAGGAACTGGCACTCATTTATTCCTGTGATCTCCTTTAAAGAAAATTCATTTGTCCCTCCACTACACACTATAACTCTAATAGCCACGAAAATGAAAATAAAACTACTAAACCTATATACAGTGAATTTCTCTAATATCTTGTTTTTTACTTTATAAAAAATAAGCTCAAATTTTAAACTTATAATGAGTTAGATTTGAATTCAGATTCCTTAAAAAGGTAATTTTGAAACTTGGATGCTGCTGGAACAAAGGTAAAGAAAGCAGTTACAGTACTGGTGATTTTCAGGTTTTTTTTTTAGTATTTATGTTTTGTGTGTAAAGTATCAATAAATATTTCTTTCTAAAATTTCTGCCTTACAAAAAGGTACTTTATATTCAGGAAACTGTGGGTAACATATAATTAAACAAAAAGCAGGAAATATATTCCGAATAGGAAAAATTGTTTGGCCTTGACACTCACAATAATAACCAGATGTTACAATACATGCCAAAATTATTGAAACATTCCTGGGAGTTCAGAGATTAAAATACAGACCAATGTTTCTGGAGTGAATGTGATAACAACATGGCAGACATGCCAGTGATGAATTAATAATCTACCAACATGATCAAAGATCCAGTGGTTCTTCTTAAATGCATTTGCTTTTAAAAGGGTGAACTGTGTGGATCTATTCAGAAAGGAGACTAAGGAAAAGTGAGATCTCAAATTAACAACCCACTGATTCCCCTCTCCAGCAGCTAGGACAACAAGACAGTCCCAAACCTAATGGACTGCAAGAAATAATAAAGATTAGGAAAGAAATTACTAAAAGAGAGACTAAAAGAATAATAACAAAAACCAATCAAATAGTTGGTTCTTTGGAAAAGTAAGAATGACAAACCTTTAGCCAATCTGACAAAAAGAAAGAGTGAGAAGATCCAAATTAATAAAATTGGGGCCAAAATGGATATTATTACAATAGACCCCAATGAAATCCAGAATGTCATATTAGGAAATACTTTGAAAATTTAAATTCCAAAAAGCTGAATAATGAGTGAATTTTTAAATGCATATGGCACACTGAAAATAAAACCAAAAGTCTAAAGAACTCAAACTCATTACTAGCAATGAGGTCAATGCTGTAATCAGTCTACACACACACACACACACACACACACACACACACACACACACACACACAAAGCCTAGGATCAGATAGATTCACTGATGAATTCTATCAAACAGTCAGAGAACTGATACAAGTCTTCCTGAAATTGTTCCACAAAATATAAAGAGAAGCAACACTACTAAATTCATTCTATGAACTTAGTGTTATCTGCTACCTAAATAATGAAAGACACAACAAAAAAGAAAACTACAGACTGATGTAGATGCAAAAATTATCAAGAAAGTAATTGAAAACTGCATTAAGAGACACATTTAGAAGATTATATATCATGACCAAGTGGGCTTCATCCCAAAGATGCAAAGCTGGTTCGGTATACATAAATCCATAAATGCAAATACCATATAAGCAAACTTCAAGGACAGAAAATAGACTATTATACTGATTGATATTGAAACAGCATTTGACAAGTTCAATCTGCTGTTATGATAAAGAAGACATTAGTGATTGACTAAACACACCTCAAAATAATAAACACTATATTAACAAACCTACAGCTAACATTGTACTAAGTGGAGATGAGTGGGATCATTTCCATAAAACCAGGAAAGAGACAGGGACACCCACTCTCCTCCTTTCCTATTGAATACACTGCTCTAAATTTTAGCTGTATCAATTAGATAAAAAAAGACTATATAAAAAATAGGAAAGAAAGTCAAAGTATCCTATTTGCAAATGACTTACTTTTATTCATAAAAGATCCTGTAGAATCTACTAGAAAACTCTTATATCTAAAGAACGTGGATAATAAAATTGCAGAATCGATACAAAAATCAATATAAAAAAGGAGTAGCCTTCATATATACTAACAATGAAGTGACTCTCAGAGAAAAAAATTATGTAAAATATCTCATTCATAGCAGTTCTAAGAAAAATAAAGTATCCAGGAATAAACCTAACCAAAACGGGAAAGATTTACAATGAAAACTTCAAGGCATGAAAAAAGAAACCAAAGTAAACAATAGATAATTGAAATACTTTCCATGCTTCTGGATTGGCAGAGTTAGTATTGTGTAAATAGCTGAATTACCAAAAATAATCTACAGATTCAATACAATATCCATCAAAATTTCAGTACCCTACTTTCTAGATTGAGAGAAAACAATCCAAGAATGCACACAGAACCACAAAAGACTATGAATAGTCAAAGTCATCCTAAGGAGCTTAAAAACAAAAACAAACAAACAACAAAAACAGGTAGAGGTATTAAAATACCTACCTCAAATTAAACTATAGAGCTATAGTGACCAAGACAGTTTCGTACTGGCATAAAACAGACAGACCAATAAAACAGATTGGGGGCCTGGAAATAGACAGACAGGGGTAGGACAATATGACAAGGGTGGTAAAAACATGCAGAGGAAAATGGAGGCCATTTAACAAATGGTGCTGGCCATCTTAAGAAGAATAAGATCAGATCCATACCTTCATCTTGCACAAAAAACAACTCAAAGTGGATCAAAGACTTCAATTCAAAACCCTGAACTCTGAAACTCCTAGAGACATTAAGGAATACTCTTTAAGATCTTGGGGTAGGCAAGGCCTTTCTGAGTAGAACTCCAGGAGCACAGTAACCGGCCCCAAGAATTAATGGATAGGTCTACATGAAATTTAAAGTTTCTGCACAGCAAAAGAAACTATCACTAAACACCCCACAGACTGGTAGAAAATCCTTATCAGCTGTGCTTCAAACAAGGGGCTAATAGCTTGAATTTACAAAGAACTGCAAAAATTAACACCAAGGAAACAAAACTGACAATCAACAAATGGACTGATGGAAAGAGAAGACAGTTCTCAACATAAGAAACACAAATGGTCAATGAATATATTTTAAAAGTGTTATCCAACACCCCTAGGCATTAGGGAAAAATAAACTAAAACTATTCGGAGATACCGCTCACCCTAGTCAGAATGGCAATAATCAATAGATCAGACAATAAATGTTGGAAGAGATATGGGGAGAGAAGAGCCCTTATTCACTGTTGGGGGGAATGTAAATTAATCCAGCCATTATGCAAATCAGCTTGGAAGTTCCTCACAATATTACAAATAGAACTACCATATGACACAACTATACCATTCCTGGGCATATAGTGAAAGAACTCCATAGCCTGCTACAGAGGTATTTGCACATCCATGTTTGTTGTTGTCCTACTCACGATGGCAAGGTAATGGAACTGACCTAAATGTCTATCAGCAAATGAATGCATAATGAAATTGTTACTTATATACAATATGATATCATTCAGCTGTTATGAAAATGAAATCATGAAATTAGCAAGAATATCGATGGACCTAGAAAGAATAGTACTAGGCAAGGCAATTGAAATTCAGAAAGAGAAACCCTACATGTTTTCCCTCACACATGGACCCTAGCCTATAATGTATTCATGTATGTAAACAGGTCTAAGTATGGTTAAAGTTCAAAGAGTTCAAGGGACCAGGAGAGGGTAATATCAGGTGATAAGAAAGGGAGGAGTATAGGCAAAAAGACAAATTACAGTGAATATAAATCTAATTTCTTTCTAGTTTCAATTATATAAGTTTCTTCAATGGTGGAGATACAATTTCAGTTTTCTGTGTACTGAGGCAGAAACAAGTATTTTTGTATTCTAAACGAATTCAACATTTATTATTATCATAAATCAGTAACTGGGAAAGTTGTACTTTGTTTTTAATTCCATTGACCAACAGGAACTGTCCATGACTAGTCACTGAATATATTTGTCACATTGACACACTTAAAAAGGTAACTTTTAAAAAAAATGCTCTGAGATTTGGATGTCAGACCTTGCTGCTGAAGACACCGCGCACTGTGGACACAGGACTTGGAGGTACCCAGCTGGAACAGACCTGGAAGCCTCCTCCCTGAGAACTGTCTCTCACAGTATCTCAAGTGTTGCCAAGGGAGGATTTAAGGCCCACTTAATAGGTGGCAATTCATGTGTGGTATTATGATCCTAGCAACTCCCTGTTGCTGGTGAGGTCGTGGGCCCTAGAAGGGGATCCACTACTGCCACATTCTTAAACCAGTGTAATTCCCAGATTCATTCTAAACATCTGTCCTTATACCCAAAGAAAAGTGCAGCTTTCACCCCTCATAAAAGAAGCATCATTTTGCTGCAGAAGGAGACTATTCTATAAAGCCCCAACTGGTCGAAATGCAGAGAATAACTGACGGGGGAGTACACACCCCTAATTGATACACCTGCAACACAACCCCTGCATCAAATGGTAAGGGGACACTGTGGAAGAGAGGGAAGGAAGATTTTAAGAGCCAGAGGACCATGGCGTCCGCCATGAGATAGTGCCTTCTATATATGACAGGGAAGTTGAAATCTCAACAACAGGGTTGCCTAAACAAGACCAGCATAACAACAACTCCAGCTGACACTGTCATGGATAGGGAAAATCTTACAAGGCCTCACTCCTACATGAAGAACTACAGGCAATTAATTAATGGCTGCTAAGAGATGGACAATCAGGTTTCTCCAGGGATGAGCCCTCAATGGGTGGTCAACATGTGAGCAACACTAAATGGTCTCAGCAGGTTATATTTGTGTGTGTAAAAGAACACTGCATATATCAATCAAAGTGCCCACATTTAATAGGAATACATTTAATAGTATGGTAAAGGGGAATTTAAGAATGCTTTTTAAGTAATAACAACTTTAGGTAGGCAATTGTGAGGAAGATAATAATCATACAAGCCAGAGCCACATGATTCTTCCACAGTTCCCAAGGTGACAGACCGATGCCCTGACTTTTCAAGTACTCGTCACCAGTACATCTGAAATTTAAATATACAAAATTGATTAAGTTCATTCCTAGCATCTGTCAAATATTAACCAATATATCTACTATTTCTTTATTACAGAAACCCATTGGTTAGCCAAATCAATATATGACAAGAAAGTTGAACCCTTGAAATCTCAACAATATGGTTGCCTAAACAAGACTTGCATAATGACAACACCAGTTGACACTGTCGGTGGATAGGGAAAATCTTACAAGGCCCCCCTCCTACAGGAAGAACTACAGGCAATTAATAGATGCTAAGGAAAGCCTTCTCCAGGCTTACAATTTACTAGATTCTAGGCTAAGCAACTTGCACCTAATTAAGTTAATCCTTAAAACAATCCAAAAAGAGTTTAACTATTAAGCACTTTAACAAATTTGGCCAAGTTAACATAGTCTTACTATTAACTAAGTTTCTTGCCTCATCAGATTCATTAATTGTAAATCTATGACGCTGCTGTCTACAAAGGGCAGAAACGCTTATCAAGTGCTTTTTCCTTTACTCATTACTAAAGGTGAAGACCTCAGCTGTAGCTATGCCGGGTTCAGCCCTTCCCTTGCAGTTTCCTCCACCACAAAGTGAGGGAAGCAGGTCAAAAAGCTCCATCTGGCAAGAGGGAGCAACGACTTTCAGCCGGAGTCACGTCTGTCAGCTTTCACCTGCAGACCCTCAGCTAACGGACACAGGCCTTAGATAGCACGTAGAGCAGAGCAGGATGGAGTGGCCCTAGCGTGAATCCACCCAATGTAGCCACGATTATTGTGGCTGCTTTTCCTGTGCATGGTGGGGTTCAGCAGCTTCCAAAATACCCATTCCTCTTTGCTTTAAGAGCAGTTTTCTCCTTCCTTTTATGAGGACGAGCCTTATGTGAGCACTAAGCCTGCCATGGCTCCTCCTTCTGTGGTACCTCTTTTCCTGTCCACTCCCTCCTGGCCAGCAGGCTGGCAAGGACTTTGTGTTAGAAAGATGCCACACCCAGATCAAACCAAAATTCAATGGGCAGGCAAAGAAAAGCTCTCTGGGGGAAACCCCTGTTTCGAAAGTTGTCTGTCAAGAACCCAAAATAGAAAATCATCCTATTACTAGCAACTATTTTTACAACTGAACATTCAGGAGGGATTTGGGAGACCAGCATTCTGTTCTTTCATTAATCTTTATATCAAAAATCAGATCATTAATAATTATCAAAGAAGTATTAACATTTTAAAATAAGGTCATCTAATTTATTAGAACCTGAATTCTATTTTAATTCTGGAAAAAGTTCATCCTCTTATAGGGAGAATTTCAATTTGGTTTAAATGAGCACACACACACACCCCAACTGGCAGCCTTGAGTTCCATGATGTTCCGAAAGGCAGTGGGGCAGAAAGTGACATCAGGGTCAAAGTAATCAGTGACTCCCTTCTTGCTCGCACTGTCCGAGTGCCTACTACTGTCTTCCATTCTGGGCTCTGGGTTATAATCCATTTCAGTTCAGAGATTACACGTCCCTCCTAAATTATCAAAGCAGCCTATTTGTAACCCCAAAGTTCTGAAAAGTAAGAATTCAAACCCAATCAAAAAAATAACAGGAAACTTTTAAAACATCTCAATCAATACACAGGGAGCATTTTTTCACATTAAATATGGCTTTGACTGTTATAGGTTATAGGAGCTGTTCAACATGGTCACATGAAGTAGTGTATAAGGGCTCCCTTTACAGACTGGAAAATTAAGGCTTAAAGTTTGACTCATCCTACCTCTAAGCCAAGCAGCTGTTTTACAGCACATCACAGTAAGACACAAACAGTGTGACACTGAACACAAACTTACATTGCAAAGCTGTTATTGCAGGTGTCGCTGACATTTGCATTGAGTTCTGGACAGAAGTCTTGTCCCAAGAATTCATTATACTGCAAAGCCTAGAATACACATAAGATTGAGCAATGTCAATAGTG